TTAATCCAGGTAACATTCATTCATTCATTTATAGTGAAAAGCCTAATAGTTCCCATTATGACTCTACCATCATTTAGTCTGTGGTTCCTCTGTTTTTGGTCATTTAGGTTATTCCCAAGTTTTTACTATTACAAATAGTACTTTGATTATAGTCTTCATAGATAAATCTTTGGCTATATTTCTGATTGTTTCTGTATTACTGTTTTCTTGGATGCTGTCCAAGTAACTTTTTTTTGGTCCATGTAACTTTTAAACACAGTTCTTTGTGTACCTTCAGTTAATATATAAAAACACTTCAAAGAAATCTTAAGTTCTACTGCAGTAGACCTCCTTTCAGGACAATCTGCTGCAGGAGCAGTTGACAGAAGGTCTCTGGCTGCCTCATCTTCAGATCGGCTGCAACATGAATGTCATGGCCACGGCCGTGCTGGTCTGGGCTGCTCTCAGCCAGTGGCCCAGCATGGCGGGAGTACTGAGCCATTCCTGGTAAACTTTGTTTGGAGACAACTCATCATCCCAAATGAGACTCTGGGATTGGACTGCAGTCAGAGACTCTGCCTACTCACCCTCCTTCCTTCCCAACGCTTTTCACAGAATGGCACCTCAGTCTAAAGCATTTTCCTTCCTTTTCTTGCCCTCTTTCCCTTTAGCCATTACAGGCACTTCCCAAATCAACCTCTTAGCACACCTGATTTTATGTTGGCACCTGCTCTTGGAAGAACCGAGCTGACACAACTTAGTAGGTTTGTGTTTCTAATGGTATGAATGTAATAATTCTGAAGCAATTATGTGTGTATTATAGGATAAACCAAATGAGTAAATATATTGATATAGTTGGGCATCAAGACTCTAACTGCGGGAAAGGGAAAACAGAAATATGGAGGCACCTGGGTAGCTCAGTTGGTTAAGTAGCCAACTTTGCCTCAGGTCATGATCTCACACTCCAGGAGCTTGAGCCCTGCATGGGGCTCTGTGCTGACAGCTAGGAGCCTGGAGCCTGCTTCAGATACTGTGTCTCCCTCTCTCTCTGACCCTCCCCTGTCTGCCCCTGCTCTGTCTTTCTCTCTCTCTCAAAAATAAACTCTTGGGGCGCCTGGGTGGCTTCGTTGGTTAAGTGTCCGACTTTCACTTAGGTCACGATCTCACGGTTCGTGGGTTCAAGCCCCGCGTTGGGCTCTGTGCTGACTGCTAGCTCAGAGCCTGGAGCCTGTGTCAGAGTCTGTGTCTCACGCTCTCTTTGACCCTTCCCTGCTCACGCTGTCTCTCTCTCTCGCCTAGAAATAAATAAAAAAACATTAAAAAAAATAAAGTCTTAAAAAATAAAAAAAAATATATGAAATGAGGGAAGCAGGGAGGAATGATGTGCTGAACTGGAATAGAAGGTCAGTATAACCTCATGAATTACATGTGGATGAATGTGTGTGTGTGTGTGTGTGTGTGTGTGTGTGTGTGAGAGAGAGAGAGAGAGAGAGAGAGAGAGAGAGAGAGAGATTTACAGGAAATGTCGACAGGAGATAGTTATAAATATATACAGTGTGTGCATGTGTGTGTATATGAGTGTGTGACTATTTCTACATCTTTTAGCTCTGTCCACTGAGAGAGACAAAGAGCACAGATGTTGGAATCTGGTAAAAACATATCTGCACAGATAGATATATATGAATGTTTACAGCTGCATAATTCATAATGGCCAAGAATCCAAACATCTCACCCAAATATCCATCAACTAGTGAATTGTTTTAAATGTACTACATCCATATAATAGAATACTGTCCAGCAATAAGAAGTAAACTAGTGATACATTCTACAACGTGAAGAACCTCAAAAACATTATGCTGAGTCAAAGAAGCCTGGCATAAAAGCCTATGCACTGTATAATTCCATACATGAGCAGACCAGAAAAGGCAAATCTAGAAGAGACAGAAATCAGTCCTATCTAGAACTAGAGACAGGTGTGGGAATTAAGTGACAATGGACAAGAGGGAAATTTCTGAGTGACGGAAACGTTCTACAAGTGGATCGTGATGAGGCTGCACAACTCTATAAATTGGGAGAACTGGCCCTGATTATTTTTGCAGCCTCATGTCCCAATGTTCCCTTAATACGCCCCCAAATTCCACTTGAGGAATTTTAAAGGATCCTCAGTTTCTATCTGGAACGGCGTTATCCAGTCTCCATAGCCCGGAGCAAATGTCACCTCCACTGTCATGCCAGAATCAATCCCTTCCTTCTATGCACTCTCATGAAACACTCTTTGCACAACTCTGAGAACGCTCCTTGCTCTAACTCTTCCAGCTGTGTCTGTGCATGGCTGTTCCCCCAGCACTGGACAGTGAGCTCCTCAGACCCGGGGACCAGGTCATATTCCTCTAGAGCACCTATCAAGGCATCAGGCACATCATGGGCATTTGGCAAATGAATGAATAAATGAGTGAATGAACAAAGCTATGAAGAACAAGGGAGTCTGAAGTGAATAGAAAAGGTATGGGCTGTTTTAAGCAACAGATGAACCAGCTGTTAGGAAAGCAACTAAAAAACAACTACAAACTCTGGCCCAAGTCCTGGGTGGTTCTGGTATGAAATACCTCAGCTTGAAGGATTCTGGGAAGATGGCAGAGTAGGAAGCACCAGGAATCTCCACCCCCCCTCACCCCCAGACAAGTGTACTGGCAGAATCTGTCTGATATAACTATTTTGGAACTCTGGAGTTTGTTGAAGAAATGAAAGGCGTCCAAAACAGAAAGGAAGAAATAAAACTATGTTGTTAGATAATATGATCTTATACGGAGAACACCCTATAGGTTCCCTGAAGAACTTATTGGAACTAATAAATGAATTCAGCAAAGTAGCAGGATACAAAGTCAACACACAAAAGTCAGTTGCATTTCTGTACACAAACAACAGACAATCTGAAAAGGAAATCACAAAAAACAATTCCACTTACAATAGCATCAAAAAGAATAACAACATACTTAGGAGTTAACTTAACCAAGGAGGTGAGAGATTTGTACAATGAAAACTGTGAAACACTTCCGAAAGAAACTAAAGAAGGGGATACCCAAATGGAAACACATCCCACATTCATGGATCAGAAGACTTCATATTGTTAAATTGTAGATACTACTGAAAGCAACCTACAGATTTAATCCAATGCCTGTAAAAATCTTAACGATTCCTTTTTTTTGCAGAAAAACACAACTTAAAATTCACATGATGTCTCAAGGGACCCCAAGGAGCTAAAACCATCTTGATGATACAGACTTATTAATGTCAAAACTTACTACAAAGCTACACTAGTCCAAACAGTCTAGCACTGGCATAAAGACAGACACGTGAAACCACGGAATAGAAAAGCCCAGAAATAAACCTTCACATATATGGTCAAATTATATTTGCAAGGCTGCCACGACCATTCAACAAAATAAAGAACAGTGTTTTCAACAAATAGTGCTGGAAAACTGGAGGTGCACATCCAAGAGAAAGAAGTTGGATCTTTATCCAATACCAAATAAAAAAAATAATTCAAAATGGATCAAAGGTCTAAATGTAAGACCTCCCCACCAAAGTAAAAGGCTTTGAGGAAAACAGGAAAAGGAATCACAACTTTGGATTTGGCTAAGATTTCTTGGATATGACATCAAAGGCACAGGTAACAAAAGAAAAAATTGGCAAATTGACTTCAGAAAAGTTTTTTAATCTTGTATATTAAGAGACACTACCCACGGAGTAAAAAAGCAACTCACAGAATGGGAGCAATTTTTGCAAATTATTTATTATGATAAAGAATTAATATCTAGAATTTTTAAGTCCTAAAATTCAACAACAACAAAAAACAAATGACCCAGTATAAAACTGGGCAAAGGACTTGAATAGACATTTCTCCAAAGAAGATAAATGAATGGCCAATAAGCACATGAAAAGGTGCTCAACGTCACCAATCATCAGGGAAATGAAAATCAAAACTACAGTGAAATACCACCTTACAAGCATTAAGGGGGCTACTATAAAACATCAACAACAGAAGACAAATATTGGCGAGGCTTGTGGAAAAACTGGAACCCTTGTACACCATTGGTGACAATGTAAAATAGTGTGCAGCCAACTGTGGAAAACAGTTAGTTTAAAATAAAACTACCTCAAATAAAAATAGAACCACCCTATGGGGCGCTTGTGTGGCTCTGTCAGTTAAGCATCCGACTTTGGCTCAGGTCATGATCTCACGGTCCTCGAGTTTGTCTGCTTTCAACACACAGCCCAGTGTGGATCCTCTCTCTCTCTCTCTCTCTCCTCTCTCTCTGGCCCTCCCCTGCTCTCTCTCTCTCTCAAAAATCAATAAACATTTAAAAAGAAATCGAACTAGCATATGATCTAGCGATTCTACTTCTGGGTATACACCAAAAAGCATTGAAAGCAGGGTCTCGGAGAGACATCTGCACACCCATGTTCATAGCAGCACGGTTCGCAATAGCTAGAGCTTGGAAGCAACACAAGCGTCCAATGACAGATGAATGGATAAGCGAAACGTGACCTATACATACAATGGAATCTTATTCGGCCTTAAAAAGGAAAGATATTCTGTAATATGCTACAATGTGGACAAACGTTGAGGACATTATGCCAGATGAAATAAGCCAACTGCCAAAAGACAAATACTGTAAAAGTCCACTGATATGAGGTACTTAGAGTAGCCAAATTAATAAAGACAGAAATTGTAATGATGATTGCCAAGGGGTGAAGGGAGGGGGAAATGGACAGTTATTGTGATTGGGTACAATTGTGTATAGAGTTACAGTTTTTACAAGATGAAAAGTGTTATGGGAATGGATGGGGGTAATGTCTGTACAACAATGGGAATATATTTAATACCAATGAAGAGTACACTTAGAAATGGTTAAGACGGTAAATTTTATGTTATGCATATTTTACTACAATTTTTTAAGCCCTACAAAACAGTAACTGTGTGTAAAGGACAATGGTGACAAAGATGACCCATCTCTTACCTTCATCAAGCAGCCAGCAAACACAAGGAAGCCTTTTGAATGCAGATGCTTGGCCAAGGAGAACCCAAATCCCGAGTCACAGCCTGTGACCAGGACAGCTTTGCTGCCAACCTGTTTTAGAAGGTCATACCTCACATTAGGAACCCAAGATCCTACGAGCCTACTGACCAAATCTCCTCTGGGCAGTAACGATTAGTGCTTCCCGAGTGGGCCAGTCTTGGCTATCTAGAGAAGCACCATGGTAGAGTGGGAAATGCCTGGACTCAGAATCAGACCAGGTACTAACCTTTCTGGCATCAGTTTCCTCATCCATAACCCCCATCATCCCCATCCCCATCATTACGGTATATGCATCATTGCTTACCATAGGCAAGGCACTCTGCACACATTTTTCTTATTTAATCCTCACGGTAATTCCATACAGTAAGTAGGATTACTATACCATGTTGCAAATGAGGAAACAGATATTTTCTAAATGCCCAAGGTAGTTAGCGGCAGAGTGAGAACTGAAACCAGGAATGAGAGATTCCAGAGTCTAAACTCAACCCCTAACTGCCTTTGATGGGGGTAAAGGGGGCAGTTAAGAGAGTGAGAAAGTGGCTCCAGCTGTCTCAGGAACAGACGCCCTGCTCTGAGGGTGGCCCGGGGCTGGGGGGCCCAAAGGGAAGGGCTCTGACCCCCTGGCTGGTTTTCAGCTGGGCTGCCACTCACCGGGTTCACCTTGTCGGAGTAAGTGCGCCGGCTGACAGGGACAGGAGAGGCGGAGTAAAGCAGCAGCATGCGTCTGCAGGAGAGAAGGAAGCCATGAGTAAAGGCTATGGTCATACCTGGACCTGTTCTCAGGGCAGAAGCAACTCAGAGGACCCTCAGGTACCAGTGAGCATCTCACTGCTCACCAACCCCAGCCCCTGAGGACAATCTGCTGGCAGAGTGAGGAAGAGGACCTCTATCCTCCAGGGTTGCTAGGCTGGGACAAAGTAAGCCAGCAGTTGCGGTAGCCATTTTTGCCACGTGTAAGGAGTGGAATCATCCATCCAGTGATACAGCTTGGCCCACAAAGCCTTCTGCAAACTCAGGGTCTTAACCCTTAGGTTTTATGCTGCTTCCTGATAGCTATTTTTCAATTACACTTTTATTTTTGAAATAATTGTAGATTCACAGGCAGTTAAGAAATAACGCAGAGAGATGCCCTGTAACCCTTTACTCAATTTCCCCCAATGGTAACATTTTGCAAAACTATAGCACAGTATCACAATCAGGATATTGACAGACAGGGAAAATACAGAACATTTCCATCACCACAAGGATCCCTCATGTTACCCTTTTATAGCCACACCCACTTCTCGCCCACCTCATACCCTCTTTAACCACTAATCTGTTCTCCATCTGTATAATTTTATCATTTCAAGAATATTATAGGGGCGCCTGGGTGGCTCAGTGGGTTAAGCGTCCAACTTCGGCTCAGGTCATGATCTCATGGTTCGTGGGTTTGAGCCCCGTGTCAGGCTCTGTGCTGACAGCTCAGAGCCTGGAGCCTGCTGCAGATTCTGTCTCCCTCCCTCTCTGACCCTCCCCTGTTCATGCGCTCTCTCTCTCTCTCAGAAATAAATAAAACATTAAAAGAAAGAATATTATATAAATGGAGTCACGTAGCATATAAACTTTTGGGACTGCTTTTTTCACTCAACATAATTCTCTGGAGATTCATTCAGATTGTTGCATGTATCAATAATCTGTTCTTTTTTTTTTAATATATTTTTTTAATGTTTTATTTATTTCTAGGAGAGAGAGAGACAGCGCGAGCAGGGGAGGGTCAGAGAGAGAGGGAGTGACAGACTCCGAAACAGGCTCCAGGCTCTGAGCTGGCAGTCAGCACAGAGCCCGACGCGGGGCTCGAACTCATGAACCGCGAGATCATGACCTAATCGAAAGTCGGACGCTTAACCGACTAAGCCACCCAGGCGCCCCAATAATCTGTTCTTTTTTTATGGCTACATTGTATTTCCTGGTATGGGTATACCACAGTTTGTTTAACCAGTCAACTCTTTTTGTGTTTTTGATTTTTTAAGTAGGCTCCACACCCAATGTGGGGCTGGAAATCACGACCCTGAGATCAAGAGTTGTATGCTCTACCCACTGAGCTAGCTAAGTGCCCCTGACGGTTCAACTATTAAAGAGCATCCGGGCTGTTTCCATTTTGGGTTATCACAAATAAAGCTGCTATGAACATTCCTGTACAAGTTTTTGTCCAAATCTGTTTTTCTCTTGGGTAACTGCCCAGGAGAGTAATTGCTGGGTCATGTGGTAGTTGCATGTTTAGTTTTTAAGAAACCTTCAAACTGTTTTGCAGAGTGGCTGAAGCATTCTACATTCTCAGCAGCAATGGATGAAGCAATCTAGTTTCTCCATATCCTCACCAGCATTTGGTGGTGTCACCATTTATTATTTTAGCCATGCTGATGACTGGGTAAAGATAATCTCACTGTGATTCTAATTTGCATTTCTCAAATGGCTAATGATGTTGAACATCTTTTCATATACTTATTTGCCATCTGTATATGTTCTTTGGTAAGATGTCTCTTCATCTTTTGTCTATATATTTTTTTAAGATTTTATTTTATTTTTTTTATTAAAATTTTTAATGTTTATTTTTGTTTTTTAAATATTTTTATTTATTTCTAGGAGAGAGAGAGAGAGAGAGACAGCGTGAGCAGGGGAGGGTCAGAGAGAGAGGGAGATACAGACTCTGAAACAGGCTCCAGGCTCTGAGCTGGCAGTCAGCACAGAGCCCGACGCGGGGCTCGAACCCACGAACCGCGAGATCATGACCTAAGCGAAAGTCGGATGCTTAACCGACTAAGCCACCCAGGCGCCCCTAATGTTTATTTTTGAGAGTCAGAGAGTGAGAGTACAAGCTGGGGGAGGGGTGGAGGGGGGGGAGAGAAAGAGTGGGGGGAGACACAGAATCTGAAACAGGCTCCAGGCTCTGAGCTGTCAGCACAGAGCCCGACGCGGGGCTCAAACCCACGAACTGTGAAATCATGACCTGAGCTGAGATCGGTGTTTAACCGACTGAACCACCCAGGCACCCCAAGATTTTATTTTTAAGTTACCTCCACACCCAACATGGGGCTTGAACTCACAACCTCGAGATCAAGAGTCACATGCTCCTCTGATTCAGCTAGCCACCTGCCCCTCACTACTGAGTTTTGAGAGTTTGTTACATGTTTTTCTTGTTCTCTCCATCTTCTAGAGTCTTGTTATACTTGTTTTACATAATACCGGGGGGTTTTAGTTGTACCCTTTGGGAGCAATAGAGAAAAAGCACATCTACTCCATCTTTCCAGCAGGAGAAGTGCAGTTCGTTTTTAAATGAATATTAAAGCAGAAACGATAAATGGAGGTGTTAGAGGCAGGTGAGCAGCTGGTAACAGAGGAGAGGAGGTAGGATATGGACTTGTACTACTTTCTACCATTTGAATTGTGTACTCTGTGAATATACTATCTATTAGAAACCTAAAGTTTTTGAAATATGTATAAATATGTGTTACCCAACATCCTGAAAGAACAATGGGTTCACTAGACAGAAACAAGGGTCCAGTAGAAAAACCTTCCAAAGTAAACTGTTGTCCTTTTGAATCCTCACAGAAGAGTCTCTTTGGATTTTAAGTCCCAGTACATGGTGGTCTCATGAGCAGAATCAACAAAGCTAGTTACATGATTTTACCCAAAGAGAATCATTGTTTGTTCATGACACCAGGGGTTAATCTGCAAAAAGAACAAGGTGTCCTTCTGGACCAGATTATATGTGTCGTCGTCCCCCCCCCCCGCCCCCCCGCTGTGAGTCTCTTTGTCCTACTTGATATTTTATTTATTTATTTTTTTAAATTTTTTAAAATTTATTTCTAGGAGAGAGAGGAGACAGCGTGAGCAGGGGAGGGTCAGAGAGAGAGGGAGACAAGACTCTGAAATAGGCTCCAGGCTCCGAGCTGGCAGTCAGCACAGAGCCCGACGCGGGGCTCGAACCCACGAACCGCGAGATCATGACCTAAGCGAAAGTCGGATGCTTAACCGACTAAGCCACCCAGGCACCCCTGTCCTACTTGATATTTTAAAAAGTAACAGAAAGGTCACAGCAAGGGAAAGGACTTATTTCAAACTGACTTGCTGCCAGATTTCTTCTCCTCTACTTCCCCATTCTCAAATATATTCGGACCCAAACTTGACGACCTCTGGGTGTACTATAGCAGGCTCTAGTGCTCAGACCCAGCTGTCGGCGGCGTAGTTCTTCCTCTCTAGAGAGCACAGGGCTCCATCCCTGCACGCTCATCTTCCACGAGGCAGAATCTTGACAAGGTGGGTGAGTGGGGCCATGCATGAGGGGACCCTCCAGGGGACTGCCGGGCTTCTCGGCCTTTCCCCCTTGGCCATTGCTGGGATTGCCTCAGCCTGTTCCTGTTCTCTTCTCTCCCTGGGAGGCTCTTGCAGCTGCTGCAGGATCCCTAGCTTGGGGCTACTTCTCAATTTGAAGGTCCCTGGGCCTGGAAAGTCCTTAGCACCTCAATCCTCTCATTTTAGTTGACCAGCACCTGGGGAGCTTGTTAAAATGCAGATTCCCAGGTCCCTCCCATTGATCTTCTGACTCCGCAGGATGGGATGGCAGCACACTGCGGGTCATCCAAAACCCTTACTCCAACAGCTATGCCAGCCTCACAGGCAGTACAAGTTAGACTTGGGACAGTCAGTAAACTTTCTAAGGGGTAGAATCCCAGAGAGGTAGCAGCCAAATTCAGAGGAGAGCCAGCTGGCTGCTGTCCTAACCTACAAGTGCAATTTGATGGGGCAGAGAAGGTGCAATCTGGCACGTCCCCCAAGGGCCTGGGTGAGAGCTCCCTGGCCTCCAAAGCGCTGTCATCCGGGAACTTGCCTGGCCACATTTGAGATGCCACCCCATGCTGGCCAGGGCATTCATCCTGGCTTCTTTTCCATCTTACCAGTCTGTGCCTCTATCTCTTATTCCTCCATCATGAATCAGCCACAATGACCAGTAACCCAGCTTTCTGCTGAGAGGAGTCATGACGAAGTGATTTGACAGGCTGACTACAACAAGATAGAGTCCAGGAGAGACAAATGTCAGTGACACAGTGCAGCTTGGGAGAAATATGGCCTCACACAGCAGCATCTGGGAAAACAAGCTAGTCTGCTCAACCATGAATCGCTAGTGGTGTGACTGCCAAAAGGATCTAACGCGAGCCAAGGCTGGAAAGGATAAAGAAGACTTCTCCACTCTGTCAGGTCAGGCTATCCCGGCGTAACAGATGTCATGCCCAGGCAGGTAGAGCTGAGCACCGGCGTTCAGCCAGCTGGTGTGTAACCAGGATCCAGGAGGTAGTGTCTGGGAGGTGAGGAATCCATCAGTAAGCCACCTCTCCTGGGGCAGGGCAGAGCCTTTTACCAAAGTCAGAAATGGAAAATCTGGAGCTGTGCGGGGCCAGTTAGCAGGGCAGGTCATCAGGCCAGTGTCCTTCAAGAGAGCCAGGCTCCATTCTCTCTTCAATGGGATGCTGCCTTTGTGGGAAGGGCCATTTTATATTCCTCCTCCTCCTCCTCCTCCTCTTCTTTTTTAGAAAGAGCACATGCAGGGGCGCCTGGGTGGCTTAGTCGGTTAAGCGTCCGACTTTCGCTTAGGTCATGATCTCGCGGTTCGTGGGTTCGAGCCCCGTGTCGGGCTCTGTGCTGACTGCCAGCTCAGAGCCTGGAGCCTGTTTCAGTCTGTGACTCCCTCTCTCTCTGACCCTCCCCTGCTCACGCTGTCTCTCTCTCTCCTAGAAATAAATAAAACATTAAAAATTTAAAAAAAAAAAAAAAGAAAGAAAGAGCACATGCAGAGGAGGGAGAAAGAGAGGCTCTTAAGCAGGCTCCACGCTCGGTGTGAAGCACAATGCGGGGTTCAATCTTACGATCCTGGGATCATGACCTGAGCCGAAATCAAGAGTCAGATGCTCAGCCAACTAAGCCACCCAGATGCCCCTATTCTCTTCTTATATGATGTCTTCTGCTAGTTGAAGCCCATCTCCAACCAAGCTCCTGCAGCCCATGGAAATGCCTTTAAGCAAATGGTGCTAAAAGCCTAAATGCATGTTCTTCTAGACAGACATATTTATCAGGATAGAAAATATCCATCCATTTCCTAGCTGCTGAGACTTTGAGTTTAACCTGATACTTAATTTCTCTTCTCTCAATTATAAAGGAACAGAAAGTGAATTATTTTTTTCCTCGCTCTGTGTTACAAAAGACAAAAATGAGATAACAGAGCACTCTGAACCCCTTGGAAAAGGCAATTCCAGAAGTTCTCAAAGAACTGCTTGTTTAATTTGTACTTAATACTTTCTCTAAATCACACAAAAGTTCGGTGAAGCCTCAGGACATTTTAGTTAACTGGTTTCATGTGTAAGATTTAAAAAGAGCAGTTATCCAGATGATCAAAGTACCACACCAACATATCCTGATGCGATGCTCCGAGAGAGGGATCACCTCACTTAGCTGGGACTCTTCCAGACAGACACATCTGAGTGTAAACCTGACGAAACTCACACAAACCCAAACTGACAGGCATTCTTCCAAAGTGTCAAGGTCATGAACAACAAGGACTCCAGTAGGAAGAGACTGAGGAGGCGTGACAACTAGATGCGCTGTGGGACCCTGGTTTGTACCCGGAACCACGGAAAGGTCCATCTGTAGGCTATCTGGCGAAATCTGAATCCGGTCGTCGTATCACATTGGTGGCAATTTCCGGGTTTTGCTGATTGCACAACGCAGAGGATGTTAGGTGAAAGACACGGGAGCCCTCTGTACTAATTTTGCAACTTTTGTATAAGGGTAGTTGTTTCAAAATAAAAAGTTGAAGAAAATAAAGGAGTGATGAAAGATATTCTTCTGTGCCCTGTGAAAGTCTCTGTCTGCTGCAGACACCTTGGAATTTCCTTTGCTGGAAGACAGCAGGTGCTGGCAGCCATCTTTGAGGGTCAGGCCTTACCACCGCCTGCACCATCCGTGTGTGAAGAGCTGTTTCACCCAGAAGGTGTGACCTTCGAGGGCACCTCCATCCTTTTAGTTTCTTACCTTGTTACCTTTTCTCTATCATAGAAACTCAGGGTTTTCCTGGGGAGCTGTGACAGAGGTCTGAAGAGACGGGCGGTCAGCATCGTGGCCACAAGAGGTAGAACGGGCAGCCTCCTCCTGGGGGATTCTGAAACACAAAATGTATACTCAGCGTTGCCTTGTTGCCTTCCTGTGTTTACCTTTCAGGGGCTTAGATGGGAGGGGCCATTTTCGCTCCAGGTTGTGAGAGTCCCAACTGGGCGCTGTCCATTTGGCTCATGGCACCAAGCAATGTCCCCCTGCACTGCCCTCATCAAGCTGCAGCCCCACGGGCTAGAAGGAATCAGGAGGCTAGGTTCTGGCTGTGCCACCAACTCCTTGGGTAACCCTGGGCAAGGCTTCGCCCATTGGTAACGTGAGAAGGATGGCCCAGGACGGTGATCCTAAAACCAAGCTAAGTAGCAACCACAGGAAGGACCTGGGGACCTACCCCCTCGGGCATTCCAACTCCATGAGTCCCATTCTCCTGTCTGTGTTCCCCACAACCTGCAGATCGCCGATCTGTGGTGACCCAGGACACCAGCCCGCACTCCGTGTGGTCACATGCCTCCACGGGCAGCTCTTCCAGCCCATGTCATGTATCACTGGACTCAACTTTCCACCATCCTTCCACACCCCACCACACACAGGGTCTGGCCCTGAGCCTCAGTTCATCAGCAGCTCAGAGCGCATGGAGACGGGAGCTGGAAAGGTGGACACACTTCCATCAACCTAAATTAAAACACATACATACCCCGTCTGTCCCGCCACCTTCTTCGGAAGGCAAATCAACCTTATTGCCACAAGGCCATGTACCACGTCGTGTCACCTTAGTCACTCAGCACCATGACTAGCTGTGCATTACTAACTGTTGACTGATGTGTGCATTAGTTGCCCCCCTGTTCCGGCTAACAGTGAGTCCTGCCCGAGGGAGGGAAGGGGAGGCCAGGAGGGAGCTGAGCAAGGCAACGACAGCTGGAGGAGCTGTTGGTCTTGTCCTGGTGAACCTCTCTAGCCTCTCCTTGGCGCACCTGCCTGGAGTTAGACCATTCTTATCAGGAATGAGGTTCTACCCAGGAGGCAGCTCCTCCCTGCCCTTTTGCTGCCACCCAGCCTAACTGCTAACCAGCCACCCGGGCCGCTAGGTCTGTAATGAACTCGTTACCTGGCCAGCCACTGCACTGTTGACTGCCGGAGCAGGTAGAGGTATCTAACTGCTTGATCCTCAAGAAGAGAAAACAAGTAGGGATCCCTTGGCTTGTGTGATCTTTTCCAACACTGCAGCAGACTCTGGCTCCCACTCTGGCCCCTACTCACCGCACACTATTCTCAGCACTGCAGCCAGAAAGGTCTTTATAACACAGTCAAGTTACGTGAATCCCTTGCCTAAGAGCGTCCTCTCCATGTCTATTGGAACAGGCCTCTGCGTCCCTCCCCAACCTTGTCCGATACCACCCTCCCCTCTGCTCTGTAGCCACACTGACCTTCTGAAAGTTTCCCACGTGTGCCAAGCTCCTTCCTGCCTCAGGGTCCTGGATGTTGCCCCTCCCTCACTCTAGATGGCTGAGTCCTTCTGACCCTTTGGACATCAGAGAGGCTGTCCCTGACCCTCCAGGCAGCACACAGAGGTTGCGCTCTGTAAGATCACTTCTTAATCCAAAAGCACCTTGTTTCTTTACTTTATCCTTCCCTTCTAGACGATGAGCTCAGTGAGACCAGGGGCCTTGTCTGTTTTGATCACCACTAAATCCCTCGTGCCCAAAGGAGCCTCACACAAAGGAGGCAGTTGGTGAGTCTCTGCTGAGTGCAGAAAGTCAGCCTGTAGCCCAAACTGAAGTTTCCATGGCAAGTACTTGGCAGGGGACAGCAAAATGGAGCCCAAACTCGCCCTTCATAGAAGGCACAGGCCCACATGACTCGTATTCTTTACCTGGGTGCCTCCCTCCCCCACCCCAGTGGCTGAGCTGGCTCTGCACACACATCTCCACCTCTCCCATCAGGACAGAGTCTGCGGTCACCACCACTGGGTGACTCCGAATCCAGTGGTCTATAATTAAAGCCCTTCCATGCCTTCTGCTCAGGGCCTGTGGTAGAGACTGCTTCAGTATTATCTCCAAACTGAGGGCTGCTTTCAATTTTCTTTTCCCTTGAGTCCACAATACGGAAAAGGGTGGGAATCAAAATAGCTTGAAGAACATGAAAACTCAGCCCCTTGAATAAGGCACTAGTCACAAAGTAGTCTCTTACACACAGAATGGTAGAATTTTACATCTCTTCTTTTTCAAGTTTCTTGTTTTTTTAATGTTTATTTAGTTTTGAGAGAAAAGAGACAGAGCATGAGTGGGGGAGGGGCAGAGAGAAAGGGAGACACAGAATCGGAAGCAGGCTCCAGACTCCGAGCTGTCAGCAACAGAGCCCAAGGCGGGGCTCGAACTCACAAAAAGTAAGATCGTGACCTGAGCAGAAATTGGATGCTTAACTGACTGAGCCTCCCAGGTGCCCCTCTTTTTTAAGTCTCTTAAACACGTTGCCTTTTTCACTGCAAACACAATGCTACAAGCAGTGGGATTCCCACGTAGTCTCTGGGGATGTTTGCCAGCTTACTGCCTTTTGCTAGACTTTCTTCTCTGCAGATACGGAGTTCTCAACCTTGAAAAGCCCTCACTTGCCTTTTGGCTTGGAAACAGAGGTGGCTGTGACAGGGGGGTGCTGCAGGAAGGCAGAGTGCCTTGTGGGGGTGGGCACAGTCTCCCAAGCCTTGAACTCAGTCAGCTGCCCCGGGGCAAGTTGGCACAGGGAGCTTGACTGCCAAATTTATAAGATACTGTCACAAAATCAAGATGCTCGCGTGTCAATCTGTAATCTGGGAGAAACTCTTCTCACGTGGAGAATGGCCGGGTCTACTCTCAAGGACACGTCCTCTCAATGCATAACCTACGGAAGGTATCTCCTCTCCAAAAAACCAGTGTGTGCACCTCGCCCCAATGCTGGGATCCCTTGTCACATTCTGACAGGACTACCTTGCAAAGGACACAGCCGGATGCCTTCCTGCGCGTCAGGATCAAGGTCTCCCTTGTAAGGGACAGACATTCCCAATACGGACTTCCTTGGAAAAGATGGCGCGTCGGCAGGAAACAGGAACACAGGAGGTGGGCGTCAGGCAGGAAACAGAACATATGTGTTTTGAGATGTGAAGCCTGGAGGGGCCGTGGCAATACCAAGTGGGAAAGGAAGGCCCTGTCCTACAGAGGAGGGCAAGCTGGGACTGCACAAGGAAGTCTTCCTATGAAGGGAGCCCACACTGAGCAGCTTTAAGACCAGTGGGCTTCGGTGTGAGATTCAAGTTCCGACAACTGGCAGCCTGCCTCCAGTGTGTTCTACCTGGCTGTTTTGTTTGGGCAGCCTTTGGCACTGCAGCTAGGCAGCTAAGTAATGCTGGAATGCAATACAGAGTTGCACTTACTATCTTGAGCTTCCATACAATCACCTCTGTTAACTTCCTGGACTCTGGGCATTTGAGTTTGAAATCCCTACATACACACACACACACACACACACACACACACACACACACACATATATATGTGTATATATATAGGGATTTCAAACATATATATGTGTGTGTGTGTATATACATATATATGTACGTATATATACATGTGTCTCGGTTAGTCTGAGACACATTCCAGGCACCTGATTAAACTCAGGTGATGGCAACACTCTTCCAATAAAACAGCACCAACACTCTGAAGTGGTCATCTTTTTGGGCGTCTGTCCTGCTCACCTGACCCCTAGCCTCTTAGAACTGCAGAGGGTTTGGCCTCCGCTGCTGTGGTTGCACAGTGAGGCCCCCCCTCCGGCCGAGGGGGACCGGGTCTGGGACAGAGCCCGTCCTCTGTCCCCTGGCACTGGGAAAGAATGCAAATCGACCTTGGTGGGGCAGGGACAAATGAGCTGGCTGCAGCAGCGGGGAGGGGGGCCTGAAGCCGGAGAGGGAGAGGGAGAGAGGCAGTCTGCAGAGAGAAGAGCCTGGCCCACATGCAGAAAGGAGAGATGGACACGGAGAAAAAAGTGAAGCACAACGGAACCGCCTCAGGACAGGCCTGTTTCTTTTTTTTTTTTTTAATTTTTTTTTTTAATGTTTTATTTATTTCTAGGAGAGAGACAGCATGAGTAGGGGAGGGTCAGAGAGAGAGGGAGTCACAGACTCTGAAACAGGCTCCAGGCTCTGAGCTGGCAGTCAGCACAGAGCCCGACGCGGGGCTCGAACCCACGAACCGTGAGATCATGACCTAAGCGAAAGTCAGATGCTTAATCAACTAAGCCACCCAGGCGCCCCACTACAGGCCTGTTTCTGAGACCTATGTGCCCTCCTGTCCTCCAGCTCTGTGAGGCATACAAGGTGTTTATTCTCCATGTTATTTAAATATGTTTATAGTCCCTGTTCCTTAGAACAGAAACAACACTAGCTACATACACTGAAAGCAGGTTCTTTCTGCAGAGTATTATTACTAATTCTTTAAAAATATTTTTTAAATATGTATTTATTTTTGAGAGACACAGTATGAGCGGGGGAGGGGCAAAAAGAGAGTGGTGACACAGAATCCGATGCAGGCTCCAGGCTCTGAGCTGTCAGCACAGAGCCCGACGTGGGGCTCGAACCCACGGACCGTGAGATCATGACCCGAGCCAAAGTCAGACACTTAACCGACCGAGCCACCCAGGCACCCCTGAGCATTATTACTAATTCTTAAGCCTGCCCCATATTCCGAGAGCGCCACACTGTAGATCTTGCAAGGAAAAGAGCAACACGTGCCTCCTCCTCTCTGCTTCTCATCTGTCCTTCTCCGAGAGAAAGTGTTTGAAGGGCTGTCAAAATTGCCATAGTCACAAATGCCAGATTAAGCAGACATTCTATCCCTACGAGTAGGGCTTGCCTATCAAACTGAAGTCAGACAGCTAAATGATAAGAGTCTCAGGGCTCCATTCGTAGGCTCTTCACAACACCATGATGAACTCTCATAGCTTTAAATATGGTTTACAGGGGTGCCTGGGTGGCTCATTCGATTAAGCATCCAACTCTAGACTTCGGCTCAGGTCATGACCTCACAATGTGGGAGATCAAGCCCCACGTCGGGCTCTGTGCTGAAGCACATTCCCTCTCTCCCTCTCTCTGCCCCTCTCCCATTCTCTCTCTCTCTCTCTCCAAATTAATTAATTAATTGAAAATAAATACATAAGATTTATATGCTGCCAACTCCTAAATATTTCTCTGTACCCAGTCTTCTACTCCAAACTCCAAATTTATGTATCTGCCTGCCCATCCGACATCCCCACTGTAATGTTTAAGAGGTATCAATTATAATTTATAATAATTTGTACTAGGCATATATTACACTTGAACCTGTCCAAAACTGAGCTTGTGCTATGGCACTGAATACCTGCTTCTCTACGTCTTCCTCCTTCTTGATCCCTCCCTTTTTTGCACACTCCACTGCTAAGCTGTCAGCACATCCTGACTCCACCTTCACCATGTATCTAGGACCCTCAGATAACATCTTTGTCTAAGCCTTCATCACTTTTTGCCTGGATTATTGCAACTGCCTCTTAACCAGGCTCCCTGCTTTCACCCTTACCCTTCTTCAGACACTGCTCGACACTACCGTACATGATCTTATGAAATGCAAACTCGATCATGTCACTTCTGCACCAAACTCTTGCTCAGACTAAAAGCCAAAGTCACTACAAACTGCCCCCCTGCAGCTGTCCATGATCTGGGTTCTCATGACCTCTCTGGCCTCATCCCCCATGTTCACTGCCCTTAGTCACAGTGGCTTTCTTGCTATACTTAGAACATGACAAGTAAGCTCCTGCTTTGGAAACTCTGCCCTTCCTTTTCCCTCTACCTGGAACATTCTTCCCCCTCAACATCCACGAGCTCATTCTCTCATTTCAATCTTTTACTCAAATGTTTACTCAGTAAATCACTCCCTGGCCACCCCACCAATCCCACCCCCATCCTGACCTTTTCTATACCCTTACCTGCTTCCATTTCCCCTCCCTCCTTGGCTTACCACATAAGAATGTTATACACATTGTACTTATTTATCTCATTTGTTATCTCTCAGTCCCATCAGAATGTAAAGTCTGAGAGCAGAAATTTTGGTCGCTTTGGTCATTGTCATATCCCCAACACCTAACAGTGCCCTGTACACAGTAGGTACATAATATGCAAATTATCTAACAGGGTCTTCAGCAGAGGGATACTATGATCAGACTTAATACAACACGATAATACAATAAGCCTCACTGGGTTAACAATAAACTGAGGATGAACCAACCAGAGCAGAAGCAGGGAGACCATTTAGATGCTATGGCAATAACCAAGGGCCACAATTTATAGCCACAAAGGTTGTGCACTGCACAGCTCCAGTGAAACGTGACAAGTACTGTCTGGAGATACATAAAAGGGCTGCCAGCCCTGGTGGAAACCACAAAGGTGATTAGAAGTGATTAGAATCTGGCCACGTCTTGAAGGTAAGAGCCCAATATGATTTACCTGACAAATTTAACGGAGGATGTGCAAGAATGGAAAATAAAAAATATTTCTAAGGTTTTTGGTGCAGATGTAAAAAAGAGAATAACATTACAACAAAGGATATATTAAAGAACCAGTCTATTCATAAGTGCGTACAACATTTCAAATCAGTGTATACAAACTGGGCCTCACCCACTCACGCCAAATCATGTCTCCAACTATGCTTTTCGCATCTACTCATACAGACCATTTGTGATACCGTCACTTGGCAACTCCTGTACTCTCCAATTTCTGCGTCTTGGTCATCCTGTACCACATGTGCCTTCTTCATATGACCAAGTTCTGATTCCATTAACACTCCTCCAAGATGCCTTTCCTGATGCCCCAACTAAACAATCAATCTCTCCCCTACGTTTGCATTTTGTCCCTTCCTTCTGTGCCTCTGTAATAGCACTTAGAATAGCACTTACCTAAACAAGGAGTAATGGAGGTTATTTCCAAGCATTCAAGCCCCTGTCTAACTACTGATCCCCTCCTGGACTGTGAGCGCCCCACAGATAGGATCCACCTATCCTATCATTCACTTCTTCCTCCAAAATATCTACGCCTGTGTCTGGCAGGAAACAGACACTATACAAATGTGTATGAACAGAGTATGAAAACCGCACAAACTCCAAAGGTCAGCCTCCTCGCCGGCCTGGGGTGTATATAAACTGTGCAGAGGGGGACTCCAAGGCTCAGGGAGAAAGTAGGACACGTGCTGCATCCTGAAGGATCCGGGAAGCAGGAGGCATGCAGGCGAACGTGCCCCTGCAACTGCCTCCTCGCAGGGTTCGCCGGTGACTCTACATCAGCTGACTCGAGGCCAATTTGGGCCGACAGGCTGGAAAAAAACGCGCCGAACTAACGACTCCGGCAGCGCTGAGCCCTCCTCCAAAGAGGCGTCGGGCGAACAGCCAGGCTCCGCCCGGTGCGCACTCGCTCCAGCACCTGAGAGCACGGGAAGCCCGAGACGCGCAGGCGCAGCCTCACCGTGCGCCGAGCGCGCAGCGCGCGCAGCGCGCGCAGCCAATGGCAGCGCCACGCTCCTTACGCGTCGGCCCGAGCCACGGGGGCTCGGCTCGAGCCGCGCTCCCATTGGCTAAGACGGCACCGCCCAGACAAAGCCCCGCGGACGACGCCCCCGGCTCAGGGTGCCCCGGAGCCCAGGGCCACCTCAGCATCCCCCCGCTGCCCCCACGGCGCGGCCGGCGTGCTGCCTCCCCCTCTCCTCCCGTCCGGCAGCCGGTCAGGTCCCCCGGCCATCGCGGTCTCAGCTCGCGCCCCAGGCGGCAGGACCGGCAGCCTAACCACTGTCCGCCATCCCTCCCCATGGCGCAGCGTGGCGGGGTGGGGGGGAGCGCTCCCCAAGTCCTGCGAACAGGGCCTCATGGAGGACGCGATGCGGGGCAGGATGAGGGGGATACAGTGAAGCCGGGGGGCACCGCCGAACGCGAAAGACCAAACTGCTAGCTTTTGGTCCTGGATCGACCTCTAAGATACGACCTTAGGCCGCCTCCTTCCCTTTTGGGGAGCCAGGGGGGTCTGTAAAATGCGGCGGGCGAGGAAAGATGAGTGCCGAGGGTTTCCCCTGGGAGCCTCGGGCTGCATGGTCAACCGGGGCCTTCTGCGGAGCACATTATTCCAAATAATAAACGCCAGACGGGCTCCCGGGGACGGGGGGGGGGGGTGAGGCGGGTCTGGGCGGGGTAAGTCCACCTTCCTACCTAGACTCCGGCCGCAGCGGCAGGGCCAGACCTACAGGAACCTAAGGCGCCTTCCCCACCCGCATCCTGGCCACTCGGCCAAGCGGCCAAGCGAGGCCAAAGCGAAGTGAGCAAGTGCGCAGGCGCAGGCACATCCCTGTAGAGCTGCAGAGGTGCGGACCCCTCCTCTTACCGAAAACCAAACGGGCGGAGGGGCTCTGGCCGCCCACGGCTCAGCTGGCGCGTTCCCCGGGGACAGGCGCTTCGCGGGTACCCGCGCTGCTGGCTTGAGCAGCCGAGTGGGGGCGCTGCCGCCGTCTCCTTCTGGAAGCCCCTCTACCTGCTGCCGCTACTGCGGCTTCCTACTTGCGCTACCGGATGGGGACAAGCCTGGACCCCGTGGGTGCGCGTGACGGGGCTGCGCTGGGCGGGGCGCAAGGCGGGCGTGGCCGGGGCGGGGAGCGCTCCTGCACTTTCTCCGGCCTCCTTCGGCCTCCGCGGTCCCGCCTGGCCCTCCTCCTGCGTTGGGTACCCCCTGTCGGGCTCCCAGCCAGAGATTGACCCCTGTCGGGCGCTGATCTCCCCCGCCAGCCCCCTTCTGGAGCGGGTGGGGGCTGGGGGCCTTCGGGCTGGGACAAGGTGGTGCCGCACCGGGACCTGAGGGAAACCTGGTGAGGAATAAGGCTCCTTCCAGGTTCTGTGCATGTTTTCTGTCGTTAGAACTCATCCGGGTTGGTTGATTTCTCAGGGTTTTTTTTGTTTTTTAGTGTTCTTTTTTTTTTTTTGGATCGGGTGAAATGCATTTAAAGAATTACTCCTACGGATCTTTAAAAGTAATTTAAGAATAGCACAGCTCCCAGAGTTTCAACAATGGAACATCAGGGGCCAGTTGGCCACAGATCAGGATGCCCTCGCCAAGTTTCCAGGATGAAAAACCGACTGAAAAGAGAAGGAAACGATCAGGACAAATCTGTGGCAGAACTATGTTTAGGTCAAATTACGGAGAAGCACGGATTGGAAAGGGACGAGGCAGATGAAAACGGGAGGGAAGTATTGGCCTGGTGGGACTTAAAAAAAAACCAAACCAAAACAAAAAAAACTTGTCAGCTCAGTTCCATGAGCTTCTTGAGAGTGGCTGTTTCTTCCTTATTTATCCCCAGCTCCTGACACATAGAGTTTTGAAGAATGAGAGGGTCACACAGGTAGGATGCACTTGATTCTCTGCACCCAATTTTCAGACAAATCGCAAGCATTGTTTCTTCAGTATTGTGTTTCAGAATTCTCACTGTGCACATCATGCAGCAGCCATAACATAAATCGTTATATTGGGCCACTGGTTACACTTTGGGAGTTACGCCTTGCTAGACAACTGGTTAATTAAAGGAAGAATTAATATTTTCACCTAGGCTCTGCTTTTGGACTCAGAATTAAATTGAAATGTAGTTCTATTTATGGAAAACAGGGAAAGGATACTTGACCAAAAGTTCTATCAAGACTGCACCTGTGGCTGACATCGCATCTTCCCAGGCTGTCTTTCTGATCCAGCTTTGCTATGGCAAACAGCTGCATACAGGTGCTACCTGGCAGCGCCTTGCCACAGCTGCACCTGGTGTTTTTCTGCCTCAGATCTCTGTCACGGCAGCTGGGGACCCTTGCAGAACCACTGCCCATTCAGACACACGCACAAACCTGCAAATGCAAAACTAACACCTCATGGGACAGCCTTTGAGGCAGAAACCAGCGTCTGAATTGGTAGAGAAATCCTCTACTCTTCCCTCCTCCTGGTGGGCAGTTCGGAGGTGCATTCTGTATAACTCCTAAAATGATAGGGTGCTGGTGGCCCATGGTGGTACCCAACTTGCAGTTCAGTCCTGCACTCTTGGATTGCTTTTCTCTGTTCTTTCTCGCTTGTCTGATTTTCCAGCCCACCACTCCTGTTCCTTGGGATTTGTTCCCAAAATAAACTACCTATATTCTTGCTCAGAGTCAATTTTGCAGGGGTTCCCAGACTAAGCCAGTCATGAACCCAAAAGAGGCATCTCTGCCCACCTTTCATGGCCATTGTCAGCGGACCTTTCCCAAGTCTACTAACAAGAAATCAGTTTGTTCAGCCTGAGCTTTTGCTCCTTTTATTTCCCAGTTGCCTTGCCCTCTAGGGCATCACTAGTAAGCTCTCAGAGACAGGCAGGAAGTATCAGGGATTCCCAAGGGGTAGGGCCAGGTGACAGGCTGAGGCTAAGTGAGAGTCTGACAAAAGCCATTCTCGGACCATTTAAACCTTTCTCCTGTTTCCAAGGTCCTTGCTGTGGACTTTGAAACTGGAGAAACTCTGAACTCTGGGGTTGAACATGGAAGCAGTTCGCTCTCCACACAGCGTGTGCCAAGACTCTGTCTCTTTTCTGCCCTCCTGTTCCCCTCACCCCCTTGTAAAAGCAGTTCCTCTACCCAGATACAAGGCCTCAGGCCAGCGCATTCCACACCTACTACATTTCATCTCATTTCAACACCAACGGTGCTGTTGAAAATTGCGAAGCTAGCCTTGGGAGGGAAACAGCCCTTCGTCTCTGCCTTCATGGAGGGAAATGAGACATATACCTAAACTAAATGAATCATTGGAAGTTCTGTAGATCTTCTAAAAGAGGGACATGGAAGTTTAGTGAGAGTGCCACCAGGCCTCAGGGCGGGCTTTGTAGAAGAGGTAACATCCTGAAAAACTCTCATTGGAACGAAGTCCCCTAAGAGATCCCACTGCCCAGAGAGCAACAGTGTTTGCTCCTGTCCATGTCAGCTCCTAATCACCTCCTGGTTCATGCCCTTCCTAAATCATGCTAATCATTCCCTCATCTTCCTAGCCCTCCCTTTGTAGATCTGGCCCTGTCCCATCTCTGAATGCCTTTGGTCTTCTCTGCCCTCAGCGGCAAGCATTGAATGCTAAATGGTGCAGGTTAAATCCTGCCCTTGGCCGGGCACAGGAACCCGTGAACCCCTCCAGAAGCCCCCAGGTGCAGCCCTCTATGCTGTGTTCCTCTGGGGAAGAGAGAAGAATAACACCATTTACTATTCTAAACCCTTCAGGTCTTCTGTTTAGGTACAATTGAAAAAAAAATGGGGGGAGAGGTGCTAGATATCATGCCCTTAATTCAGAATTTTAAGTGTCAAGCAGCCTGTTTTTCTATAATTGACAGTGAAAGGAAGAAAAAGCCCAACAGATTACTCTAAAAACTGTGGTGCTAAGAATCTAATGGGCTCCATTAGATTGATCCTGACGTGACTATAATACTGATTTCTGCCCATGAATGAGAACTAGAGGCTCTGTCTTTTCCCCTGCAGTGAATGAGCAAGTAAAACAAAAGCTTGGACCTTTCTGGGAAAAGAGGGGCATCCATATCCCCACCCCCTTTCTGTCTCTTGATTGCAGTGTATTTAATTAAAATCTTTGCTGTTTTTTGTTTTTTTTAACACAGTTTGGTGTGGGGAGTAGTTTGGAATTTTTTTTTTTAAATGTTTTATTTATTTCTAGGAGAGAGAGAGACAGCGTGAACAGGGGAGGGTCAGAGAGAGAGGGAGTCACAGACTGAAACAGGCTCCAGGCTCTGAGCTGGCAGTCAGCACAGAGCCCGACTCGGGGCCCGAACCCACGAACCGCGAGATCATGACCTAAGTGAAAGTCGGACGCTTAACCAACTAAGCCACCCAGGCGCCCCTGGAATTTTTTTTTTTTTTAATGTAGGCTCCACACGCAACGTTGGGCCTGAACTCAGGACCCTGAGATCAAGAGTCATGCCGTGCCACGTGAGCCAGCCAGGTGCTCCAGTAGTTTGGAAATATAAGCAAAGTTTCTTTGAGGTAGTCAGGATCTTAGAAGAGGGAAAGTATAGGAAGATAAAAAACAGTGTCCCTACCTCTGCGCATTCATCTCAAGCTATAAAACTCCTTCCTTCCCTCTTTCCGTTTACATCTAGCCCTTATTATATCTCACACATTGTGCTTTGTTCTCGGAATGCGATAATAACCAAATGCTGGCTCTCTGTCTTCAGCAACACAATTTAGCAGTTAATCACTACGTACCAGACTCTATGTCAAGTGCTTTGTGTGCGTTATTTCACTTAATCTCTGCAACAATCTTAAAAGTGGCCTAAGATTATCCCCTTTCACTTCTAAGGAAGTTGAGGCCTACAGAGGTCAAATAATTGCTTCTGGCACCACAACTAGCAAGAGGCAAAGACAGGTCCCACACACGTCTGCCCTA